GGGGGGGGGGGGGTCGAGAGCGTATTCTCCGGGCGAGGAGCACTCGCGCGACTTGCTACCCCTTCTCCTCCTCCTCCCCCTCCTCCGGCCCAGCATCGTCCTCCATCGCCGTCCCGATCCCATTCGCCCTCATCAGTGGCGTCGTCGTCGTTGTTCTCCATACCATCTAGCTTGCAAGGCAGAGCCAATCAAGGGAGAGCTAATCAAGGGAGAGAGGAGAGATACACAGCGCGGGAGGGGAGGAGGAAGAAGAGTGGGGAGGCGAGAAGCGAAACGCCGGCGGCGACCTTGATGAGGACTCTGTCGGCGGGTTCAGGTGCTAATGGGTACAACCCCGTTAGATCTCGGCCGTTAGATCTAGCGGCGAATCTGACGGCGGCTGCTGCTGGGTCAGCGACGAGAAACAGCCGCGTTTCTTCTTCTTTTACTTATGCTGCTGCTGCGGTCGGAGGGAAATCGAAGCCAGAGAGATCCCGATCAGCACAGCAAAAGCATCCCGACTCGGGATTTGATGCACTGTCGGTCGGTCTTGCTACAGGCCGACGATTCGTCGGAAAATGGGGCAAAGGATAAACATCACGACTCAGGATTAAATTGGCAAGGATCATGAGGAGGAGGAGGAGGAGGAGGAGATGAGGAGATAATGATGATGATGATCATCATGAGGAGAAGGAGGAGGAGGAGGGGAACATGATGAAAAACCCCTCGACAAACAGCTTGGAAGGAAATGGGAAATGCTGCTGTTTGTGTTCTTTCTTTGGGGGGTAGTAAAAGCACCCGACGACCTGCATTGAAAAAATGTTGAAGGATGAAAAAAAACGCGCTTGTTCCTCCTGCCACCTCATCATCGGATTAAGACACGTGGACACATTTTGCTTAATCATTGCTAAATCAATCAATCAGGGTGTATGATAACGGTACCGATGGATCATCGTATGATAACGGTACCGATGGATCATCGGGACAAGGCGATGGATCGGAGGCAGAAGCGCAAGGGCAGGCATGTCAGGTCGACAGTGGGGATCCCTGCTCAGCACCAAATCAGGTAGGCGGAGCTCCCGAACCGACGTTTTCGTCAGCCCGTCGCCATGGACGCAGAATCGAAACCCCGAATAGAACACATAATCGGCTCTACTGTAATGGGGTACCGTTATCC